CAAAGCAAGAGTTGAGCTCAGGAAACGAATACCATCAAATTCACAAATGTGTTTTGATAGTCAAGTGCGCCCTAAGAGCTCATATTAACACGCAGAGGCCCTCATAGTCGTTTACAGGTGCGAAAAAACTGCTTTCTCACAATAAATGGTCAAATATCTTTCAAATATTCGCAAAACCACCCAAAAGTTGCCACTTTGTCCTTTCTGGTCGGCTCGACCAACTAGCTCCACCCCGCGCGGAATTCCTCTAGCTCATCGATGCCGAAGAGCTCTACGAGGCACTGGGAACCGGCGGTAAACCGTCAACCTGGTTACCGCCGGCAACCTCGTAGAGCTCTTTTCTGGCACGGCGATCGTCGGAACACATGAAGAAAGCTTCTGGAGCGAAAAAGAAAAAACTCTAAAAATCAGGTTTTTCTGTTTTTATCCAACGTCGGTTGCTCCAAGTGTTTTGTTAGTAATACAGCACCTACGGACCTGAGAATTTGACTGGCAAACGCGGAATAACCCACTACAGGTGCGAAACATCTGGTTTCTCAAAATAAATGGTCAAATATCTTTCAAATATTTGCAAAACCATCCAAAAGTTGCCACTTTGTCCTTTCTGGTCGGGTCGACCAACTGGGCGCCGGCGGTAAACCGTCAACCTTTCTTTTTTGCGGACTTTGCGGTCGACTGCGCAGGCTTTCCAGCCTAGTCGGAGCAAGGAGCGGGCGCATCGGGAGTAGGCGGAAGCCTCACCGACCCAAACGATCAGAGGCGAAAGCCAACTCTTATTAGGAGGATGAGAGGTCAAGCACACACACACGACAAACAAAGGCATGGCGTGAGTGAGCACAATCAAAATCACATCATTTCCTGTCCGAACTACGCTTGTACAACCCGCGGCAAGATTATAATCGCATGCTCAACGGCCGAGATCTCGGCATCAGTCACTGTTGAAGTTGGATCAATCGAGAATGCCGCACTATACACCTCCGTCCATATAATCTCATGGCTGAGTGGCTGCCTTGAGAGCCTCGATATCCGTCCAACATCTATCCAGCACCCGACTCCCACGCCGTCGCAAGAGACGCCACCATCGAATCCAGCTCTGATGGCACAAACGCGAAACACCTGTTGTAACTGAGGGGCGTAAAGCCCTATCCTATCTCGAATCACTGGTGGCCCGACACGGGCCGTATGAGTGAGTGCATCTGCACGCGTGTTCCATTCCCTATATGTGTGGTCGACAATTTCCCTCCCATGACAGGCAGGCCTAATTCCAAACCTCTGACACATGTTGTCAAGTTGGTTATCATTCTGTTGATCCTATCCTGATATGTACGATTAAGCACCCTCCAGACACCCTGAAGCCAAGACACCACCAGAAGACTGTCCCCAGAAATGTACACAGGGATCCCAAATGAGTCGGGGTCGTACTCAACCTCCTTCATATTTTGTAACGCAATACGTTTGGCCAGTTTGTCGTTGAAAGCCGCGGTGCCCTCTTGGGCCCCATAAGTGTGTAGGTCGTTTTGTGTGATAGTATGTACCTCCTGCAGGGCCCCACCTATTGTACCGTACCCTTTTCTTTTCTGAAAATAACTCAGCATCGTCCGTGGACACATGTGTTCGCAGAACTGAACATACGCAGCATCTGTCGGCACAAAGGACTCCCACCATTTGAGTCCGTAGAATTCACAGAAAGAAAATAGCCAGCATCTCTGGCCAATAGCTCGACCTGAGCTAACATGTCTCCTTTTTAGCTGCGAAGCCTCCTGGAAGTGAAACATACCCCGCAGGCACTCCGACGCATCCGTCCTGAGCCTGCCCCACAGTGGACCGTATGCAACCGTAGTCATGTGGTGATCTCTCCACGTACGTTGCGTCGAAGAGATTTCCTCATGAGAAGCAGTACACAATATAGAAATGAAATCTGCAGCATCCATAGCGGAGTTCCACACCATACGGAGAAATCGCTGAATCAAACTCGCAAATCCATAAGATCGAAATTGCTCTCTGGCCTCGTGGCACCGTCGTCGGTTCCAGTCCGCCATAGTCTCCTCCCCCCTCCTCGGCCATCGAAACATACGGCACAAACACCATCCCTCGAAGGCATTGAGCATGTGTAGCGAGGAAGTATCAGCAGTACATGTCTCTAGACAATACAACGCCATACCCTGCACCTTGTCTTGATAACGACAAAACTTATCACGAACAGCTACCGCTCTGTTACGAAAGAAATCCAACTGTCCAATGAAACAAGCACGAGCCTCCTTGATGCGATATTCCACATCAGGATGAGCGGGCACTAGGTAGGTGGAGAAAATCTCATGACCCAATACTTTCATTCTGCAAACACGTCGAAGTCTAAAGTCCTGATATCTCGAGCACGCAGGTATACACAAATCCTCGCCGGCAAGTATATGTCCGTCACCGTCCACTCTCGCATTTTCCCCACATGTCATATACAACAGGCTGCTATCCTTCCATCCGGGGGACTCGTAGAGCTTCCTGACCATATATAATGTCGAAAAAAATTGCAGAGAACGAATAGTTTTTCAGCCCGAGCGATTTCAGACCTCTCGATGCAACAGTCGACCGCCCCTGATGCTTCTGGATCGTTTTCTGCGCGCACGAGCTCTGTAGCTCTCCTACAGCCCGAGTTACGTGCGAAAATCGACAGCATCTCTCAAGATTACTCGAACAATATGAATTGTCTCGCGAACCCAGCTCGAGTATCAGACCGAGTTTCTGAATGCGACTGGCGGAAACGCCTGATGTCTGAAAATCGATTCCTCTGATCACCAGCCCTGTAGCACCCTACAGCCTGAAATAAATGCAAAAAACCGGCAGCACCTCTCAAGACGACTCGAATAATACGAATAGTTCGCGGACCTAGCTCGGGCAGGAGACCGAGTTCAGAGCTATGGATTCAACCAACACGTACGCCTAACGTCTCAAAATCGATTCCTCTCAAGATGACTCAAAGAATACGAATAGTTTTGCGAACCTAGCTTCAGCAGCAGACCAGAGCTCTCGATTCAACGAACAAGCGCGTCTGATGTCTGTAAATCGATCCCTGTGATTATCAGCCCTGTAGCCCCAATATGTGTTCTGTAGCTGCCCTACAGCTCGAGTTAGGTACAAATTACCGACAGCACATCTGAAGATGACTCGGACAATACGAATAGTTGCGCAGATCTAGCTCGGGGCAGCAGACCGAGTTCAGGCCTCTGGATGCGAGAGGCGAAAGCGCCTGATGATTATGAATCGGTTTCTGTGAGTACGAGCTCTGTAGCTGCCCTACAGCCCGGGTAAAGTAGAAAATACCGGCAACGCGACAAGAGGAGTCAGAACAGCCGATCCCTTTGGCAGTAAAAGGTACCGATCGAGCTCAGATCAAGATGGCGAGCGAGAATAAGATCGAATATCATGGGAAAAAATACCAGAGCTCTAACAAATCGTTGAATTTCGAGAACAAAACTGGCGCCGGTGAACCGTCAACCTGGTCACCGCCGCGAACCTCGCAGAGCTCCTTCCACGCGAGAGGGCTGAGAGTCGAAGGAGAGAGCTTCTGCAGGCACTTCTCGACAATTCAACATTCATTTTTTTCATCTCAAAATGAAGTTGGTTCCGCCAAGTGTCATGATAGTGAATATGCGCCTACAGAGCTCATATTAAGACGCAGGGCCATGATAGTCGTTTACAGGTGCGAAAAATCTGCTTCCTAAAGTGAACGAATGTCTCTCAAACTGGCATCGGCAGTGAACCGTCAACCTAGTATTTTGCGGTATTTTGCGGACGGTCGATTCGAGCCTCCACGGAGGCAGACCGAACACACAAAGCAACTCAGAACAGAGCCTGAGAGCAAAACGCTGAGCGTACTAACAGCGAAGCTGTACAGCAATGCCCAAAAGCGTATATTACACTAAGAATCAACTCAAATAAAACAAATAATAAAAGCAATGCGAGACCATACAGTAACCGCATATAGCGATTACCGTCTCAGCACCACTAACATAGAAGCAGTGAGAGACCACGCAGTAACCGCTGGTTTATACAGCGATTACCGTCTCAACACCACTGAGAAGAACACGAAACTAAGAGAACTGAGATAGCGAGTGTGCTTTGACACCATGCCTAAGTGAAACCTGGACATGTGAAACCATGTCTAAGTGAAACCTGGTGTCGACCAGATCAAAGGCCTACTTTGAGGCACCACGTGACAAATCACGGAAAGTCACGTTCAAAGGTCAATGAGCACTCAAATCAAGGAAGCAACGAATGACCTAAGGGATCAGGCGAAGCTCTTATTCAACACACGCGCATGCAGACAACACACACAGGCATGAAGAAAGGCAACGCAATGTAGAAAAAACATACGTGCAGGATCAATCACATGTGCATCATCTGTGCCGTTCCCGATGCTTCTTGCCGCTCCGCGTCAATGCACTCCTGGAAGTAGAACTCTGAGGACCCCCTTGTTGCGAATCATCCTCCTCGGAACTTTCAATTCCCAATTGCAGCCTGTATGCATTAAGAGCCCCAGTCCTACGCTGAAACTCCTGTGTCGGAAGTCGGTGTAGCTCAAGCCAAAGAGCCCTCATATCGACACCGGCAAGGGCCCAGTCCCTGGCAGCTTGGCACTCAGAGCGTGTCTCACTCGGTCGATCTGCAGAACTCCCATTCATGGAACTCCCTACTGCATCAGCTGAACTCCCAACTGCAGAACTCCCAGCTGTTGGACCCCCAACTGCATCGTCAACTGCATCAGCGGAACTCCGAACTGTGGAACTTCCTACTGCACTCCCAAGTGTTGAACTCCCGACTGCACTGGAACTCCCGACTGCATCAACTGTACTCAAAACTGCGGTACTCTCCACCGCACTCCCGTTGGTCGCATGCAATTCTGAAGTGTGCAACTTTGTACTCTCGATAGTCTCCGTTCGTTTGAAACAATATCTCTTCATTCTGAGAGAAGCATCACCCCGATCAACGTGCACTCGATGACACTCCTCCTTCTCCCCCTCACCAACATGAACAAAATCCTCCTCAGCCACCTCCTCCTGCTCCATCTTAGCAACTGCTTCACTATGAACATTATCCTCCTCCTCGTCCTTGCAGCCAGGGTTCGATGCCACAGCATCAGCTGAACTCCAAACCGCGGTACTCCCAACTGCAGAACTCCCAGCTGTTGAACTCCCAACTGCATCCACAACTGCATCAGCGGAACTCCGAACTGTGGAACTTCCTACTGCACTCCGAACAGTGGAACTCCCGACTGCACAGGAACTCCCAACTGCAGAAGCATCACCCTGATCAGCGCGCACTCGATGACACTCCTCCTTCTCCTCCTCACCAACAAAGAGAACACAAAGATCAGTCTGAGTCCCACACTCAATGTGAACACAGGGATCTGTCTGAGCCCCACGATCGGAACACTGCGAACGCAAAGAGTTGCCAGCCAATTCAACAGCATCCATATCAGTCTGTGTTCCACAAGTGTCCTCAACCCACTCCTCTTCCTCAGAATCGTCCGAGCATAAATTCCGATAATATCTGGGCGCGAAAATGCCCGCGCGAACAAGGCACGACGGATCTGGCCCCCGAGCCGTGGACCACAAACGATACCTGACACGTTTCGCCCGCAGGCGGCGCAACTTCGATTGAGAAACTTTGACACCATGCCCATACAGCTGGTCTCGCTCATGCATGCGAGACTCACCTCCGCACGAAGGGCGAACACGGCAATATAAATCACTAACACACACTTCGACCGTAGACAAACGAGCAGACAAACAAGCGAGAGACTCGGAAGTAAAAAACGCCGTATCTGTCCAATCTTAAGCAAGAAAATCCGCGCCTGACAATTCAGATGAAACAAACTCCATATATAAAAACGTGGACTCGCTCTACAAGAAGGCAAATTACAAGCAATAACTAGATGGACAGTTGAGATAACCAAGGAAAATGCTGTTCCAACGATACTCCGACAATCTCAACAATTATGCACTCCGACGACAATCAATACGAGGCCTTCGACAATCAATAAGAGCGTACGGTACTCAGGCAAAACAGACACTGAAGCACCGTGCACGGTAAAGAGAACCAAACGCCAGGCACGGCACGATGCCGCTCGAGGAGGCCTCCGACGGGCCAGGTCGCCGCTGAGATCCCGAGGAGGGGCAGCAGCAACCTTGAGCCAAAATGGCTACGGAGAACCTCGTGGAGCTTCTTCCACGCGTCAAAGTGCTGGAGAGAGCTTCTCAAGGCATTTCTGGAAATTCAGTTTTCATGTTTTTCATGTCGACACAGAGTTAGTTGCGCCAAGTGTTTTGATAGTAAAAGAGCGCCCACAGAGCTCAGATTGAGACGCAGAAGCCTCTCAGTAGTCTGCAGGTGCAAACAATCTCTCAAAATGCATTATCAAATATATGTCAAATGGAACCGGTGGTAAACCGTCAACCAGGTTACCGCCGGGGCCCTCGTAGAGCTCTTTTCCCGCATGGCGCTCCTCGGTACACATGAAGGAAGAGTCTGGAGCAAAACCAAAAAACTCGAAAAATCACGTTTTTATGTTTTTAACCAAAGACGGTTGCTCCAAGTGTGTTGATAGTAATAATGTACCTACGGACCTGAGAATTTGACTGGCAGACGCGGCATAATCTACCACAGGTGCGAACAATCTGGTTTCTAAAATAAATTGTCAAATATCTTTCAAATCTTCGGAAAACCGACTCAAATGCCCCACATTGTCTCTTTTGGTCGGGTCGGCCAACTAGCTCCACCCCGCGCCGGAATTCCCCAGCTCATCGGTGCCGAAGAGCTCTACGAGGTATATTAGCAAAACTGGCGCCGCCGGTGAACTGTCAACCTGGTCAACGCCGGGAACCTCGTAGAGTTCCGTTCACGCGTCAGGGAGCTCAGAGTCGTGAGAAAGAGCTTCTGGAGGCATTTCTCTAAAAAATACATTAATTTTTTGCATGTCGAAATGAAGCTGGTTCATTCAAGTGTTTTGGTAGCAAAAGTGCGCCTAGAGAGCTCATATTAAGACACAGGGGCTCTAACCTTTCAGAGGTGAGAAAATCTGGTTTCTCAAAATAAATGCTCAAATATCTTTCAAATATTCGCAAAACCACCCAAAAGTTGTCACTTTGTCCTTTCTGGTCGGGTCGACCAATGGGATCCGGCGGTAAACCGTCAACCAGGTGACCGCCGGAGCCTCGTAGAGCTCTGTTCTCGCGCGGCGCTCGGAGCATGCGAAAAAATCTTTTTCAAGCGTGAAGGAAAGAACTCGAACAATGTGTTTTTTTTGTTTTCAGTTTGCATCTTCGCTTCGAGGACCCATCTCGAGTGCCAGACCGAGTTCAGACCGCTCGATGCGAGGAAAGAACGCGCCGGGTCACACTGGATCGGTTCATATGCGTAAGGGAATCCGACAGCACCTCTCAAGATCACTCGTATGATACAAACAATTTCGCGAATATATCTCGAGTAGCAGAACGAGTTCAGACCTCTCGATGGAACAGACAAACGCGCCTGATAATTCTCAATCGGCTTCTGCCAGAAGCAGCGCTGTAGTTCTCCTAAATCTCGAGAGAAGTACAGAAAACTGTCAATGCGTGTCAAGATGCTCGAAACGGCCGGCAGTTCCCTCAAGTCTTTTGATAATAATATTGCAGCTATGGCCCTGAGAATTAACTGGCAGACGCGGCATAACCCACTACAGGTGGGGAAAATACCGGTTCTGAAAACGAACTTTCAAATTTTGCAGAAAGATTGAAAAACCGACCCCAAGTTATCACATTGTCTCTTAAGGTCGGGTCGGCCAACTAGCTCCACCCTGCGCCCGAATTCCTCTAAGCTCATCTTGCCGAAGAGCTCCACGAGGTACTAGCTCCACCCCGCGCCAGAATTCCTCCAGCTCATCGATGCCGAAGAGCTCTACGAGGCACCGACCGAAAGTTCTCACTGGGCGCCGGCGGTAAACCGTCAACCTGGCTACCGCCGGGGACCTCGTAGAGCTCATTTCTTGCCCAGCTCCTCGGAACACGTGAAGCAAGCTTAAGCGAGAGCCAAAAAACTCTAAAAAATCGATCGCATACAAATAGTTTTGCGGACTTAGCTCGAGAAGCAGACTCTCTTCAGAGCTCTAGATGCTTCAGCCAAACGCCCTTGATGATTCTGTATCGGTTTCTGTGCGTACCACCTCTGTAGCTGTGCTACAGCTAGAGTTAAGTGCAGAATACCGACAGCGCCTCTAAAGAGAACTTGAGAAATACGAATAGCGTTGTGGACCTAGCTCGACTAGCAGAACGAGTTCAGGCCTCTCGATGCAACAGACGCAAGCGCCTGGTGATACTGAATCAGTTTATGTGCGCACCAGCTCTGTAGCTCCTCTAAATCTTGAGTTCAGTACAGAAAACCGGCATTACTGGTGAAGATGACTGGAATAACACAAATAGTTTTACGGACCTAGCTCGAGTAGCAGACCGAGTTCAGGCCTCTGGATGCAACAGGCGAACGCGCCTGATCATTCTGAATCGGTTCCTGTAAGTATCAGCTCTGTAGCTCTCGAAATCTCGAGTTAAGTACAGAAAACCGTGCACGCGTGTCAAGATGACTCGGAACGCAGTTGGTTCCAGCAAGTCTTTTGATTATAATATTGCAGCTACGGACCTGAGAAATGTTCTGGCAGACGCGGCATAACCCACTACACGTGAGAAAAATACCGGTTCTCAAAATGAACTGTCAAATATCTTTCAAATCAAAGCAAAACCGACCCAAGGTTATCACATTGTCTCTTTTGGTCGGGTCGGCCAACTAGCTCCACCCAGCGCCGGAATTCCTCTAGCTCATCGATGCCGAAGAGCTCTACGAGGTATTTTTGGACTGTCAACGTGAAGTCGGTCCCTGGCTTCGCTCGGGAGAATTTTTCGACGGAATGAACTAAGAAGTTGCGAGGTAACTTCTGCAATGCAAAGCTTCGCTCTGCGCAATTAGCAGCCCAAACGAATTGTTAGAACTCAAAATCGGCTGAGCCAGGCCGCGGAAGGTATGATCGCGTCCCTTTTCGACATTTCGCCAACTAGCTCCACCCTGTCGCCGAATTCCTCTAGCTCTTCTACCATCAGAGCTCTACGAGGCACTAGAAGTGCAAGCAGACGCCTGAGAGAACTAGAAGTGCAAGCAGATAGCTTCTGATGGCATTTTCTGCAAAACTGGAAAATTGCATGTTTGGACTGCCAACGTGAAGTCGGTCCCTGGCTTCGCTCGGGAGAATTTTTCGACGGAATGAACTAAGAATTTGTGAGGTAACTTCTGTAATGCCAAGCTTCGCTCTGCGCAAATAGCAGCCCAAACGAATTGTTAGAACTGCAAAATCGGCTGAGCCAGGCCGCGGAAGTTATGATCGCGTCCCTTTTCGACATTTCGCCAACTCGCTCCACCCTGTCGCCGAATTCCTCTAGCTCTTCTACCATCAGAGCTCTACGAGGCACTAGAAGTGCAAGCAGACGCCTGAAAGAACTAGAAGTGCAAGCAGATAGCTTCTGATGGCATGTTCTGTAGAACTGGAAAATTGCACTTTTGGACTGTCAACGCGAAGTCGGTCCCTGGCTTCGCTCGGGAGAACTCTGCGACAGAGTCAACTGAGAATTTGTGAGGTAACTTCTGTAATGCAAATCTTCGCTCTGCGCAATTTTCAGCCCAAACGAATTGTTAGAACTGCAGAATCGGCTGAGCCAGGCCGCGGAAGGCATGATCGCGTCCCCTGTCGCCGAATTTCTCTACCTCTTCCACCATCAGAGCACTACGAGGCACTAGAAGTGCAAGCAGACGCCTGAAAGAACTAGAAGTGCAAGCAGATAGCTTCTGATGGCATTTCTGCAAATCTGGGAAATTTCATTTTTGGGCTGTCAACTAGCTCCACCCTGTCGCCGAATCCCTCTAGCTCTTCTACCATCAGAGCTCTACGAGGCACTAGAAGTGCAAGCAGACGCCAGAAAGAACTAGAAGTGCAAGCAGATAGCTTCTGATGGCATTTCCTGAAAAAACTGGGAAATTGCATGTTTGGACTGTCAACGTGAAGTCGGCCCCTGGCTTCGCACGGGAGATTTTTTTCCACGGAATGAACTAAGAATCCGCGAGGTAACTTCTGCAATGCAAAGCTTCGCTCTGCGCAATTAGCAGCCCAAACGAATTGTTAGAACTGCAAAATCGGCTGAGCCAGGCCGTGGAAGGTATGGTCGCGTCCATTCTCGACCTTTCGCCAACTAGCTCCACCCTGTCACCGAATTCCTCTAGCTCTTCTACCATCAGAGCTCTACGAGGCACTAGAAGTGCAAGCAGACGCCTGAAAGAACTAGAAGTGCAAGCAGATAGCTTCTGATGACAATTCTGCAAAACTGGAAAATTGCATTTCTGGGCTGCCAACGTGAAGTCGGCCCCTGGCTTCGCTCGGGATATTTTTTCGACGGAATCAACTAAGAATATCTGAGGTAACTTCTGTACTGCCAAGCTTCGCTCTGCGCAAATATCAGTCCAAACGAATTGTTAGAACTGCAAAATCGGCTGAGCCAGGCCGCGGAAGGTATGATCGTGTCCCTTTTCGACATTTCGCCAACTAGCTCCACCCTGTCGCCGAATTCCTCTAGCTCTTCTACCATCAGAGCTCTACGAGGCACTTGGTAGCGTCCACTTGGTAGCGTCCACTTGGCAGCGTCCAAAACCCGGAGAGCAAAGAGAACACACACACACACACACTGGACTGGCGCCGGCGGTGAACCGTCAACCTGGTCACCGCCGGGAACCTCGTAGAGCTCCTTCCACGCGTGAGAGTGCTTAGAATCGACAGAGAGAGCTTCTCGAAGCAGTTCGCGAAAAAA